GAGAGGGGGTGGGGAGCAGGGGAGGGAGGGGCAGTCGGGAGGGCAGCTCATGTGGATGTATATTCTTCCCTCTCTCCCTCCTCTTGCTCAGAGGCCACAGGAACACTGCAAGGGTGGGGTGGTGCCCAGGGGTCAGAGGCCAGCCTAGGAGCAGGTCCCACAGTATGCAAGGCCTGCCCTCTGCACTCCTCCCGCTGCACCAAGCACAGCCCTGGGGGGAGCTCCCACCACTTTTCACAGAACCCTGGCACTTCTGCTATCTCCATGTGGACTCTGTGATCTACCCCCAGGCACTTTGCTCATTTTGAGTGACCACACATGTGCACTTTGCTCCAAGGGCAGAGTTCCCACACTGCTGAGGGCTCATGGACATCCATGCATGTGGTGGAGCCCAGTCAAGGACAGGTAGCCTGAGACCTGGGTAGCCCCTACTCAGTGAACCAGTGAGGCCCTGGTGACAGGCAAAACTGCAGTAGTGACACAGAGATGTACACCCAGCCCACAAAAATGTCCCTCCTGATTCTCATGACCACCAGGGGGACAGGAGGTCTGGGTGTTCTCAAAATATCTGTGGGCTAGACCAGGCTCAAGTCCCTCCCTGAGCCCCTTGTGACATTGGCACCCTTAGCCCTTATAGAAAAACTGCTCATTTCAAAAGTAAACCAAGAAGGGAACCATGGAGGACTTTGCTCCCAGGACGACGGAGTCACATGTTTCCCATATTCTTTCCCAGTATGACCGAAACACACAGAGTACACATAGGGAAGTGACTGAAAGTGGAAGTCAGCCCAGCTAGGGACCCCAGAGCCCGAGGCACAGCACGGTGGTATGTGATGGGTCTCAGGCTTTATTTCCTTTTTGCTGCAGGTATTTTAAAATCAAAGAAGCCAGCAACCCAGAAATGGCAACATACATAGAAAAAAGCCCCCACAAAGCTGCTCTCTCTACCAGAGGACCAAGACAGGGACAGCCCAGTAGGGCAGGAAGTGACAGACAGAATGGCCCTGCTCTGGCTAGACCCACCCTCGTTATCTAGGCTGTAAGGAGGCCCCTGCTCCATGGGGTGGTGTTCCTCAAAGTCCAGTGGGGAGCTGCAACGTTCACCCCACAAAGACAACATGGAAAGTCTGGACTGTCACTCCCATCCACTAATGGTAACAACGCCCAACCATGCCCCTGTGGACTCAGGACTTTCACCCCCACCCAGCAGTGGCAAGAACACCTCACCCCATATTCAACCTTCTGAAAGCTAAAGACCGAGAAAAAAATCTTGAATGCAGCCATTTTTAAAAAAATGACACCTTAGGGGCAAAACAATTAGAATGACGGAATTTTTCATCACGAGCCCTCAAGACCACAAGGAAGTGTCACCTTTTTCACATCCTGGAAAAAACCATCAGCCAAGAAGCTTGTATCTTCAGGAATGAAAAGATGAGCCCGGCCGGCGTGGCTCGGTGGTTGAGCATTCACCTAGGACCCAGGAGATCGCGGTTGGATTTCCAGTCAGGGCCCAGGCCCAGGTTGTGGGCTCGGTCCCCAGTGGAGGGGATGCAGGAGGCAGCCGATCAATGACTCTCTCATCATCGATGTTTCTATCTCTCTCTCTTCCCCTTCCTCTCTCTGAAATCAATAAAGATATATTAAAATTCTCAGATGAAAAAAACTAAGTGAAAAAAACTTTGTCATAAGCAGACCTGCCCTAAAATGTTGGCTAAAGGAGGTTCTCTTGACTGGAAGGAAACAAAGACAGAATCTTGATACAATAGGAAGGAGAGAGAATGCAGCAAGCGAAATCATGGGTGCAGACTGTGGTTGCCAGGGGCTGTGGAAGAGAGGGGGTGGGAGTCAGGTGGTGGGGCCATGAAAGAGCAGCCTGAGCCTGAGGGATCCGGAC